TCTTGCACGAACGATCGGTTGAATATCTGATCGTCTGAAATACCGGAAACCACAACGGCGACGATGCAAATTATTCCATCTGCGTTCACCTCGATTCTTTCGCGACACGACCACATCCTCTCGCCAGAAAAATGCATCTCGACTCTAAAGATTCGGTGAGTCAACGTTGATCGATGAGTCGGCTCATCGGTCCAAGGATAAGGTCTGCAGAACATTTGTCTTTTACGTCGAACTGCCACACGTTCATAAGGAATATGCGGTTTATATAATATATATGTACAGATCGCTTCAAGGTTTAGATAATCCAGTTTCGTAGGCCACGCATACCAATAGTAGAGATAGTTAATCGGCCAGAGACCTCATCACTCTTCTGAGTAATTACCGAGTCGAAAAAGCAGAATTGAGCGGGAAATAGTAATGTTACTATGCTATTTATGTTATTTTAAAGTCAAAAATCACACGTAAAAAATAGAAGCAGAATTTATATATAAAAATTTAATGTACTCAATAGTTAGGTATAACATTATGAATGTACAATAGATATTATATCGATAAATTTCGAAACCGTCTTATGTAGCATTTTAAAAGCACAATTATTATTATTGATGCGCTGCTAACTGCTTCGGAGCAGCTACAAATATGATTCATCAGTATAACGTATAATCTGCTTCGTGATAACAGAGAATTTGTCGGTTTAATTAATATCGTGCATATAACTATGCGGTATTCTGTTATATAGTGAAATTTATTTCAGAAGAACGTAAGGTATGTCGTTCGGAGTAGAATAAATGACGACCTAATTGCTACGCTTCTGATGAAATTAGAGAGAGAGAGAGAGAGAGAGAGACAGAGACTCTACGTACCACACATTCTTTTATACTTATCATGTATACAGTTTCTGTCGCATGGAAGTTTCATGTTATTTGACTTCTCAGTTTCCACAGACATTCATTCCTTTATATTTTGTTTCAATTTCAAATAGACTACTAAATGAAACGCAATAAAAAAAATTTTGCTCTTCTATTTACTCTTTCACTTTTATGGCAAGTCTCTACGAAATGAATATATTTACTTCACCATTACGCTATGAGTAAATTTCAATAAATAAATACCTATGGTAAGATAGATGCTCCAGCAAATAGAATTTCGTAATCAGTGTCAATACGAGCAACAAATAGTAGAGGAAATACGTAGCAAGCTTCCTGATGATTCGTGTGATCTCGTGATAAAATGATTCATCTCGTAGACACGTTTGCAGGAATTCGCGCTTACGTTCGTAACACAGCGTGTCATTAAACATACAGCTTAGCTCGTTTAACTATTCTACTTATCACAACCTCCACCGTTGAAGCTTAACCGAAAAACCTCGTTTCTTAACGACGAAACATCGCTATTTTCATTTACATTTTTTCAATTGAAATTCTACTTGAATCGTTTCATCCGTTTCATATCCATAACAATACGTATAGATTCTTTCACGATCACAGTGTGACATTTATTTGCGTAACCATCGGACAATCGTATGGTATGTAAATTAACTGTAGCTTGCGTAAGAGCACGTAACATTT